CATTGTGGGCCAAAAGAAATTCTCATGCAATAACTTGTAAGTTTTGCTGACACCAAAGAGTTCCATAAGTCCATTTTTATGGGCTTTATTAGTAACCGCAAGTCTAAACAATCCTTTAGGCATAATCCCTATTATGTAAGACTCGCACAAAAATCCATCAAGCAAAAAATTCTCATTAAAACTAGATTTTTGACATTTAGAAAAAGATTCAACAAAGTCTAAATCATGCTCATGTAAGTCTTTCATAAATATGGAACCTATTAGTCATGATATAAACATTGTATACGGATATGTAAACTTAGACAAAACATCAACAACTACATTCTCCATCCCTTTCTTAAACTTAATGATATAAGGAAATAGTCTAATGAATGTAATCCAACGAGCATATCTCTTGCACAATTTGTATCGACTCTTAATCTGCTTAAGGGAGTCGTGGTCAATGTATATAAATATTTACTTAGCATGTAAGTAATATTGCCAAACCTGTTCGGGTCGAATGTGTAAATACACATCATTCTCGTATGTTGGATAATTCAAGAAAGCTCTATTTATTTGCTCAAGGAAAGGCACTTGACATCCAGCTCCGTATCAACATAGCTCATATACCAATTCCTGATGCAATGTATTCAATTTCAAAGGTTAAATCAAAATTAGGAACTTTAAGTAGCGGTGCATATGTGTATAAATAATTAAAATACTAAAATGCATTCCCCCAAGTAAAATTCTCATCATTTTGTTTCACCAATATCGCAGGTGCAGCAATGTAATTAAGGATGGATCCAAAAAAAGAATTTGGGAACTTGGAATTGGATTCCTTTTGTTTACTTGGAGTTGGCCTTATATGTTGCTTGATTCGATAATTGAACTTTGGTGATGAAATCAATTTTATGCTCAATTCATCTCAATTGAGGCAATCCTCTGGGTAGATCATTAATCGAGGCATCAAAAAGTATCTGCAAAATAATACAAAACTCGGGTAATAGGTCAGAATTTAAAACGTGAAGAGGTAGGCAATAAAATATATACATAAAAATAGTATTCCAATTGATTTCTTCCACCTGAATGGATCCACAATCCTTTAATGTTACTAAATTATCCCCAAACTTTGCACTAAGTTTGCTTACACTCAACTCAATTCTTTTTTTTTTTTTTTCTTTTTGTCTCACTTTTCTCTCGTGTTTGACTCTTTTTTTTTCTTATTCACTTCTCTCTCTTGCTTTTTTCTTGAGCCTGCAAACATTACTTTGAGTAACCTCTTGATCGTCATGTACCTCTTTAGGGCTTGGTGGTTTATGTACCAATTTCTTACCCTTGGACCTAAAGGTAAATGTGATCATCTCATCATCATGAATAGTAACCTTACTAAACTGCATTGGCGGCCCAAGTAACAAGTTTCATGCTTCCATGAGAGTATATTGCTCATTGCCTCGTCTTTTTGGTTGTGAATATATCCAAATCAACTTGCTTATTTATCTTCTTTCTACGGAGTTCTTGTGCGCATTGGTAAAGATCTTGTTCATACCAATATGGTATAAATTGTTCCTCATAGCTCTTTTCAATGTCTCCCAAGTAGTTATGGGTATTTTTCCTCCATCCTTTCTCTTGTGACGGATCTAGTCCTACCAAGTTAAAGCATAAACACTAAATTCATTTACAACAACTCGTACCTTTTATTCGTCATTATATCCAACAATCGAATACAAGCTCTATCTTTCACTCCCAATCGAGGAATGTACCAGTGTCAAAACAACCATGAAAGTAGGGATGGATCGTAACGGCTCATGCGGTTGGGGTCTAGTTCCCGCTTGTCATCAAAATTGGATAGACATCTTTCATGGAATAGTCGCCATTTGACTATGGGGTGTAACATAGAGGACTACGAACTTCTAAGGGGCCAACCGTGGGCCTAGATTGCGCCAACAGAGAGGTGTGCAGTTAATCGATCCAACTTTGGCTTAGTCCGTCAAACCTTTCATTGATCTTTTTAGTTAGTGTTGCATCGACGACATTATAGATGATTTTTGTTTCCATGGGAATTTGTTGTCTTTCCTAGCCTCCTTATATGATTATATATACATAAAGATAAATATAGCACATTAGGAAAAAAAAAAAAAAAAAAAAAAAAAAAAAAAAAAAGGACAACCTCACTTAGGTTTCTCCTTTCAGACAACAATCTTTCCGGGATGTAATGCACTCTCGACAAAATCACTATTTTTTTTCTCAACTCGTGTATCACTCAACACATAGGGGTGAGCAAATTATCTAAAATCCGAATATTCAAACCAAACCGAAATTTAAAATTTGGTTCAGATTTTCGGATTGGTTTGGATTACAAATTTTTAAATTTCGGATTTTCAGATCGGATCGGATTGGTATACTAAAAATCCGATCCAATTCGAAATCCGAATTATAATTTATTAATATTTTATATTATATATTTAATATTTTAATAAAAATATAATATTTTATTATAAATATAAAAATAAAATTACTAATTACATATAATATACTTCATTATTATTTATTATTTTATTATATATTTATTATTTTAATCAAAAATTTAAAATAAAATAAAATATAATAATATAACACTACCAAGTACCAATTAATAAATGATACAAAGTCCAAAGCAAATAGACAAATACCCAATTCATTTCTGTACGAGTAAAGATTAGAGACTAAAAACTCTAGTTTCCATTCCTGGTGTCAGTGGAATCGTTCTCTCCCAAGTCCCAACCCCGCCGCGACCCGCGAACGCCACCATCGTTTATGTGGTTCCTAATTCCTATATCCTCCTTGCTCGTTTCCATCGTCCATTCACCGTTCCTACCTCTATTTCTCTCCATTGTTCGAAAATATTGATTCTCACTACTGAGTCGGTTCGGTTTGGTCACAGTTGTTGCTTCCGTTCGGTGGGCTTTTTTTACTTCCGGTGAGTTTAAATTATTGCTTTTTTATGATTATTTCGATTGTTTGTTTAATTTTTTTATATTGATTTATTGTTTGTTTGTTATTACTCCTATATTCCTAAGTTATTTTTTATTTTGGTTTTTTAATACTGAAATTTGTTGTTTGTTGAATAAGCATGTTAAAATATTAAATACTTCTGTAGATATATTATTTATTGTTTAATCTGTAACTTTGATTTTTTTTATTTATCTTAAAATATTGACATATGATGTTAATATGCTGAATAAATTTTTTTTATGGTTGATTTTTTAGCATAAAGTAGACGCTTTCTACTTTCCAGTATCTTCACAAACAGGTCCTACACCATAGATTATTCGGCAGCAAGTTGTAATGTAAGTTTTTATTTACTTATTTGTATTAAAATATTTATTTGCAATAAATGAATTATTAACTCACCGGATCCTTTTGATATTATTTTTTTTAAGATGTCGAATAACATTGAAATGTTTGAAGATACATCTGAAAGCACTCGTGGACCTAAATTATCTGTTAAGAATACTACGCATGATGGGAATGGAGGTGGTTGAAGTTCTCAACCTACTCAATCCCAATGTAAAAAGATGAAAACTATGCAAAAAGGATCAGAGGTTTGGGATTATTTTCATAATTTTATAGATAAAAATATGAAAGAGAAAGCTAAGTGTGTGCATTGTGTGAGAATATTTGGTTGTGATTCTAAGAATGGGACTACTACATTTAATGCTCATTTGAAAAGAATGCAAAAAAGTCTCAAACATAGATCTTAAGCAATCACAATTGATTTTGCCATCCAGACAAAGTTCATGTCTTAGTGCTTGGAGTTTTGATCAAGAAGAAGTTAGGATTGCCTTAGCTCATATGATTATTGTTTATGAGTTACCTTTTAAGTTTTTTGAAAGAGAGGGATTTCAATACTTAATGTCTAAGGCTTGTCCTGAGTTTAAGATTCCATCTATATGGACAATTTCACGTGATTGCTTTAAGTTGTACGAGGATGAGAAAAATTTGTTGATGACATTGTTGAAATCTACAAATCAAAGATTATGTCTTACTACTGATACATGGACTTCGATTCAAAAAGTGAATTACATGTGTTTGACAGCTCACTATATTGATAATGACTGGAAATTGGTCAAAAAAATTCTCAATTTTTGTCCAATTTCTAGTCATAGGGGTAGAGACATTACTTGGGAAATTGAGAAATGCTTGCATGATTGGGGTATTGATAAGGTGTTCACTGTTACTGTTGATAATGCTTCCTCGAATGATGTTGTCCTAGTTTTTTTAAAAGAAACTATCAATGAATGGGGTGAAAACATCAGAAATTGTAACCATATGCACATGAGATGTATTGCTCATATCTTCAATTTGGTGGTGCAAGATGGTTTGAAAGAAATTGGGTCTTCTATGAAGAAAATTAGAAATGTTGGTTGATTTCTTAGGTACTCGGGATCTAGATTGAACAAGTTTAAAGAATGTTGTGAGTTAGAAAATATATCAAATAAAAGTTTATTGTGCTTAGATGTTCCTATCCGATGGAACTCAACATACTTGATGCTGGAAGCAGCAATTGCATTTGAGAAAGCTTTTTCTAGGTTTGATGTGCTAGATCCGATTTATAGAATTGATCTTGAATCTAATGACGGGGTGCCTAGTAAGGATGATTGGATGAAAACAAAAAAGATGATGAATTTTTTGAGGATTTTCTATGAGGTGACTTGTAAGATTTCGGGGTCTTCATATGTTACTTCTAACTTGTTTCTTCATGAGATTTACAAAGTTCAAATTTTATTGAGGACTTTCATAGAAGGTAAAGATGATGAATTAAGTAAAATGGCCAAAAATATGAAAGAAAAGTTTGACAAATATTGGTGAGAGATGAATAAGATAATATTCATGGCCGTTGTTGTTGATCCTCGATACAAGTTGAAGTGGGTGACACTTGCACTGTCAAGTATGTATGATGTTGAGTTGGCTAACTCAATTGCAAAAGAAGTTGAAGATGAGTTGTATGCTATGTGTGTGGTGATTACAAGCAACCAATTTTTATGGAAAAAAATGATGAGCAAGAAGAAACAGAGTTGCCGAATGTTGGAATGGATGATGATGATGCACTAAAAGATGCGTTAAGAAATGTGGGATCTATATATGAAACTTTTCATCAGAAAGAGGATGGTAATGATCTTCTTAAGTTTCTTAAAGAAGGTATTGAGAATGGAGGACCGAAATTTGATATTTTAGATTGGTGGAAAAATAATGAATATAAATATCCCATACATTCCCAAGTAGCCCGTGATATTCTAGCAGTGTCCGTCTCAACCGTAGCATCGGAGTCGGCATTTAGCACTGAAGGACGAGTACTTGATCCATTTAGGAGCTCTTTAAATCCTAAAGTTGTGGAGTATCTCGTTTGTGCTCAAGATTGGCTTCGTAAATCTGCTCATTTCAGTATCGAAGAAATTCTTCAAGATGTCGAGAAAATGAAAAAAGGTATTTTAATATTTAAGTTTTATGCATTATTTAAATTTTTATTTTACTTTGTGTATATAAATAATATATATTTTTATGTAGGTATGAAAGATTTATTACTTCCATCTTTAACAACGGCACAACTGTGATGAAAGACGACAATATGTATAATTTCCGTGCTTTTCTAAGTTCAATTCAATTTATATCTATCTATCTTCTTATTATAGGTTATTAAAAATTTTATTGACATCATTATTATTGTCCATTTTGCAGGTTTTTTCTCTTCAATCCGGAAATAATTGATTAAATAGTTAATGACGTTTTGATTTTAGTTTTGAAGTGAATGATCATTGAAGTGTGACTATGAATGAGTGAATTTGCTTGGTGTTTTGTTGCATTAACATATTTAATAGACTTATTTGTGCTTAATTTTTTTGTTGAAATATGCGTTTAATTTGTTTGTTGCATTAAAAGATTTATTTAATTATTTGTGCTTAGTTTCTTTGTTGATAAATGCTCGTAGTTTGTTCATTGCATTCCGAGGTTTATTTATGTCATATTTTATATATTATGATTTTGTTTTTTTTAAAAAAATATTATTTCAAAAAAAAAGTCTTTTTTTTCGAATTTTTCGGTTTGGTTCGGATTTTTTCATTTATATTTTGAAGTTAAGATTTTTTTCGGATTTTTCGGATTGGTTCGGATTTTCTAATTCGGATTTTGGATTTTCGGATTTCAGATTTCGGTTTGGTTCGGATTACATTTTTCAAAAATTTTGGATTTTCGGATCGGTTCGGATTTCGTCAAATCCGAACCGAAAATCCGAATGCTCACCCCTATCAACATAGGTGTTCTCACCAATTTTCTTGCATGCTCTCAATCTCGGAAGGTTTTAGAAAGATTCTTTATTCGAGACCTAACCAATCAAGACATAGCACACATGGGCATTAACTCCAAAAACAAAGAGATATGGAAAGAACTAATATGGCAATATTTGATAAGGAAATTAGGGAGAAATATGGAAAGAAGTGGAAAATGATAAGAATGGATATAAAATATTAGATAAGGGGAAATTAAGAAAAAAGATATGGGAAGAAGTAAAAATGGATATATATATATTATAAAAGAATAAGAAAAACAAAATATTTTCAACCCAATTTTTTGACTTCTTTTCTTGTAAATTTTTTTTTTTTTTTTGCTTTTTTATTGACTTTTTTTCTCTTTTTTTTGGAAGTTTTTTTTTTTTTCAAATTAGAACCGTGATATTAACCACAAGATTGTATCAACTATCTCTAATACCAGATGATGCAAAAATAATCGAAGGATTCGGAAACTCTCAAACCACATGAAGTAAAGAAATTGAAAGGTGCATAATTTGGTGGAAGAATATGGATAGAATGATACTTTGGTTTCTCAATTAACAAGGTTGATCAGATAGTCACTACGAGCCACAAGCAACACATAATCTCTAAATCAAACAAGGAAAATAGAAGGATAATCTGGATTCTTGATTCACATAATTGGTCGGATGTACTCCACGTAAGAACTAGGCAGCACACAATGCATTATCTCTTACCCAATCAAGGAATGAAGTTAATGCAACAAGCGGTCCAACACCGATTGAGAGGCGATAAACTACCTCAAATTACTTAAAAACAACCCAATTTTGAAAGACTACCGAGGATTGCATCGCACAATCTCGAATAATCAAGCAAGCAAGAATCACTCTTGAAAGCAAAGAAAATTTATAAACATTCTAGAAGTGGTGTATTTTTTACAATGATAGACAAGACCTTTATGTAGACATCTTTGATGATTGAAGAAATGAAACATTAGAAAACAATAAAACAAATTAAAGGAAACATCTAAACTTAGAAACAACATGTTAGGAAGTTTACTAAAATGAGACTAAAAATCAATTTTATTTCAAAATATCACATCAATTTTTATTCATACAAAATATCACATCAATACTAAAAATCAATTTTACTAAAGGCAACATCTAAACTTAGAAACAATGAAAGATTTTGATAAATTTCTACTATTCATATAAAATTTTCTCCCAAAACATATCAAATCAAACATTTGCTTTTTTTTAATTTTTTTTATTATATTAAAAATTAATTTTACATTCAAAATATCACATCAATATTTATTTATATCACATCATAAAATTATTCAAATTCAAATTTTTTACTATTTAAATCTCAACCCAAAATTCAAACCTCCAAACAAACACACCCTAATTTATAAAGAAATAGAATTATGGAAACTTTGGACTTCTTTCATAATTATTGATATTCTTTGTTGACAGTCTTAGTTGGCAGTTGGATCTTCTAATAATGGTCTTGGGATGATTAAGTGATCGGATAATCAAACTTATCATAGTCCATAGTAGGTCTAACTTCGATAATGGAGTCCATAGCATGATTATTAAATAAAAGTATAGCCATTTAAATCTTTTGTCCTTGGCTCCGAGTAATTGACTCAACTAGAAAAATTGATGGATCGATAGCTCTCATGATGGTGATTGTCACATCATAAATTCGTTATCTTTGTATCTTCCTTGAGAAGTGGTGATTATGTGGGAAAGAATTACTCAACATCAACTACTTAAGTTATTATTATTTATATATTATCGATAGTACTATACAGAAATATATATATATATAATATTATAAAATAAGGTAAATTGTTTTTTTAATCTTGTATTTGACCATCTTTATCACTTTAAGATATTGAAATGGACAATGTTTGAATATAGTCCTCTAGTGCCAAACTCGTCATACTGGCTCGCCGTTGCTGACGTGGCGCTGACGCAACTGCCATATCATCGCCACGTGAGTGACACGTCGGAGGACCATTTTAGCGAAAGTTGTTTACTCGCGGGACTATTTTCAAACATGGTCTATTTAAAATCCTAAAATAATAAAGGGGGTCAGATATGAGACTACAAAAACAGTTTATCAAGACATTTTGTAAAATAAAAATTTTCATATGTTGTTGACTTGGCTTCTACGTATTGATCATATATCAACCACGTCAGTGTCACGTCACCAATAGCTGACCAGCATGGCGAGTCCAGCGCCAAAAAACCATTTTAGCAAAAAAAAAAAAAAAAATTATTTGCAAAACTATTTTCAAATAAGATCCATTTAAAATTCTAAGATTATAAAAAAATTTAAATACAAACTAAATAAACAATTTACTCTATAAAAATAAGTATATCATCCAATACTCCTGCGTAGCACGAGTTAGGGCGTGCTACATATATATTTAAATATATACATATAAAAGGAAGAGAAGCATGTTCCAGATAATATGGACACGTCATTTTGATTGGACAAATTGTCAATTTGATCTGTCGCAATTAACATGATATGAATGGGTTAACAAGAAACAATAAGACATGAAAATAAATGAGTGTGGTGGCCATGCATGCCTAGCTTCTACTCAATTGTGTCTTATACAAGAATCCACCAACATGTCACGTTTTCTTCTTCTTCTTCCTCTTCTTCTTATTATTGTCATTATTCATCATTACTAAGTAACTACTCCTAACCCTAATATAGCATATCCAATCAAACGCCACCTCATTCATTATATGATTTGTGGGTACACTTATGAATTAGTTTTCAGTGCATGCATTCACTATCAATTTACAGTCGATATCCAAAGACCCACAAACAATAGATAAGCTATATATATATATATATATATAGATGATGTACGTGTTGAATTGTGATTTAATACAATAGATTTTTCATTGATTCAATAGATTAGCATGTGTTGATGTTATATATATATATGTATATATATATATAGTACGTACTTGTTGGTTCATAATTTTTTATAAATAATTTTAGTACATGATTCAAATTAAACTCATAATGGTTTGTACAAATCAAAACAATGATACGATGAGCAGGTCTGGAGGAGCTTTGAAATAATGGGTGGTGTACAATACTGTTTTCTTGTGAAATTATTACAAAGATTCATTGAAGCATTGCGCAATAATATTTCTGATAGCATTGATGGACTTTAGCAGTGAATAAATGTTGTCTGGACAAAATTGGTACAATTTATTTCCTGTGGTCAGTAGTGTTGGTCTGCCGTTTAATCCATAGGCTTGGAAGGTGAGCTCCATTTACGATGGCTCATACAAGGATATTAGCAGTGTTGTCTAAATATTTGTATAAGAAAAATTTTAATATAAAATACAATTACTTAGGAAAAACAAGTGATTGTTAAGAAAGGGAGGAAAGAATAAGAAGAATAATAGGAATAATAATGATAATAATAATAATAGAGATGTGTGAAAAAGCAAAAACAAACCACTTTCGGTGTCGGTCTGTTGTGAAGAGTTATCACAGTTACTTATACAAATTTTAAGTCAAAATACATAGTTGTGTATGTTACTGGTTTTTCAAAAATTTTTACTATTAAATCAATTTTTTTCTAAAAACATTAAGTTAAATATTTTTTTATATATATTATGTTAAATATTAATTTTATATTCAAAATATTATATTAGCACTTATTTATATGATAACAAATAACTATTCACATTTAAAATTTTGCTATTATATTATTCAAACTCAAAATTCAAACGATCACTATCTAATTCTTACACGAATATATCACCTTTAGTTTTTTCCATTATTACACTAATAAAAATTTAGGCAAAATTATGTATAACTCAATTGTGGTTTGAAAAGTCTATTCTTCTCGGTGATTCTAAAATTGTATGAGATTGTATTCTGAAAAATATTGCACAAAATATCCAAAGAATTGCGCAAGATTTCTTCAAGTTTTTAATATATTGTACAGAAATCCTTAAAAAATGAAATTTTATATAATATTTTCTAAAATACGAGGAGACTTATACAATTTCTAAATTATAAGATAAAATGTTACAAAAAAATTACAACACGTGTAAATTATAAGTAATTTTACCTAAAATTTAAAATAGTTCTAAATTATAAGTAATTGTATCAAATTACTATTTAAATGATACTAGTTTCTATGGGAAATTTCATCTTTTACGTGCACGATCACATATTTTTCCTCAAAATAAAATTATTTAAGGAAATTATATTTAATTAGTTAATAATAATGAGTTACGATATTATTTTATTATTTTTTATGTAATTAATAATATTGATAGTTTTAGAATAAATTTAATATATATGATTAAAAAATAGAATATCTATTTAAATATTTCAAAAATTATATTGCAATAAAAAATATACAATATAAACATCATTTTGTACGGAATAAAATATTCTATAATAAAAGTAAATAAAAAATATTATTACTTATTTATAATTAACATAAACTAATTTTCTAAAAGATGTAGAGTTTTAAATGTAGATAAAAATATTTATTTTTCGAAAAGATAGTTAAAAATAAATGAATTTTGAATGGGTCCTACCTACTTTATGATGTTATATGTTATTTAATACATTAACTTAATGTATATTTATTCAGTATGTTATGATTTAGTAAGTTTAACCAAAATAGAAATGTGGTAATTGTTATGGGAAATAAAAAATTGAAAATACGCCAATTGTTATGAGACGTGAGAATATTAGATGTAATAATTAGTTAAAAAAAATTAAAGTTTTGAGCATATTATTGGATGCATTTATTTTGTATTTTGCTTTGAAAAAATATTTTTTTTATATGAGGTATAAAAAATTGCATAGGTAATATAAAAATAATAATATGTGTAGTATATTAATTATTTTTTAAAAAATCTATTGGAAAAATTTGGGTAAAAGAACAAAGTCAATTGTATATATAAAGAAAATATGAGATTATAAGTAGATCCTAATTTTAGAAATTTTAAGAGGGTGGGTAGAGGATAACTATTATAGAAAATGAAAATATATATACATATATATATATAAATACATATATTATATATTGTATATTAAACGAATGAATTTGTAGGAGTTAAAAGGAAATTGAACATATTTATTTTTAATTAAAACAAATTTTCTCTTTAATCGGTTTTTTTTTTCAAATTTTCACCTCCATTGCCGTCTCCGTCATCATACTAGCCACCAAGATTGTAGGATTCTTTAAATTTATAGTAGAATTTTATTATTATTAGTATTATTATTATTATAAAGAAATAAATATATAGATAATAAAAGATGGGAGAATATAGTGATATTTTTAAATTTTTGAAAACCATAATCAAATAGTCTTTATTGATTAAAATAAATAATTAAAAACCTTATATAGAAAAATTATTTTAATTTAAAAATTATTACCAAAACAACAAAAGGTTTGAAAACACACTTAAAACACTACAAAATTAAGGCAAAACAGCAAAAAAACCCATTGTGGTTTACCGAATTTGCTAAAAATCCTCCGTAGTCCTAAAATTTCAAAAAACCTACTCGTAATTTGTAAAACGTTGCACACTCGCCCCCCCTACCCCGCCCTTTAAATCACACTGACGCCATTAATTTTAGCCTTATCAAACCGTTATGCCCCTGCATTTATTTTTTACTTGATGTTTTTATTTTGTCAGAGCATTTTCCATTGTTCCCCAAAGTCGTTCGTTCTCTGACCGTCGCTTGTCGCGCGATCAAGAAATCCACCAGCATAGGGACGCCATCGTTGCCCCGCCTCCACCCCCCGTTTCACGCTGTCTTTCGCTCATCCTTTCATACATTGTCGTTACTCTTCCCCTCCGACACCACAGTCGCCATCCCCCGTCTGTCCCACCCCCAAGCTTTCTAGGGTTTACTTGCGATTTTTAAATTTGGTAAAATTTCTCAAATCTCTCATCTCGGCTCGTGAGTAGGAACGTTCGTGTATTTCAAAAATCAATTTTCTAGTTTTATTTTGGGTTGAAAGTGAACTTTACGTAGGACACAGATATGTGTATATTATTAAAAAATTTGTGGTCACGTTACTTTATTTCTTCTTTTGTTGTGTATTTTGTTGTATCTCTGGATTAAATTTAGTAATTTCCTAGAAAGTTAGATTTTGTTGGTTGTAAGATTCAGTGTGTTGTTCTGCAGATTGCACGTTCTTGAGGTTGGTGTGGTCCCCGGCATAATGGACCAGTTTGTGACAATTTATATGTGAGTGGATGGGTATACCGAGTATGAGGGCCCCGCGAAGCGATACAGGGGTGTCAGATGTTTTTGTTTCCCCCGTATCGATAAGGATAGGTTCTATTTTGGTGAGATCTTCAACATGTACTGTCGTGCAGAAGGAAGGGCAGGTGTTGTGGAGTTCATACATCGGAGCCCCGATAGTCCCCACGGTGCAAATCTCAAGGGTCCAGTGTATCCTATTAAGAGCAATGAAGATGTTATGAATATGTTTAAAATTCACTACGGGAAAAATATAATTTCTATATATGCCGAGGATAAAGCTTTGCCGATGCGCATATGTGATGCTTTCGGACATGACATACGGATGCTTAATGAAGGTTTGTTGCTTGAATGGTGTCGTGGAATGGAGGAAAGTAGCACTCCGAGGAATTATGTTTTTGAGAACGATAAGGGTTACGAGGATGATGGGGGTGATGACGTTCATGAGGGTGAAAACGTGCATGAGGAAAGAGTAACGGATGATGTGTGCGGATACAAGAATAAAATTTTCAAAGCTACGGATGTGAGGAGTTAACAGGTGGATTTGCTCCGCGGGATAAAAAAGATTTCGAAAAGGGAAAGGCATTGCAACTCTAGACTCGGAAGAGGAAAGCAAGGGGGACGATGAGGACAATGATGAAGACGATGACTCGCAAGGGAATTTCGAGTACATGGGTGTTGACGAACCTATGTGGACCGATTACACGAAGGGAATGGACAGTCGTGGTTGGTATGAGGCTCAATCGCATGCAGAAGAAGGGGCAAGTAAACCTCCTAGATGTTTTCTTTTCACATATGGATTTGACATGAATACATTGCTTATGGTATGTTTCATTGTGTAGATGCGAGCGATGACGATGACGATGATGATGCTGATGACAATGACAGTGATGGTGACAATGACGATGATGATGACCGTGATCGTGACGATGACGATAATGAAGACAATGACAATGACGATGATGAAGACGATGACGATGATGATGATGATGCATAGAATATGTCAACGAAAGATTTTATCAATCGGCCGGACGGACACTGCTCCCAAACCGAACAGGTATCCATCTCAATTCTCAGGCTACTCAGTTGTTCCTGGGATATATTTATATGCCACAAAAATAAAATTGATTTCGCTGCTACTTGGATGACATGGTAGGTTGCCTCTAATGTACATCCGTCACCGGACTGCGCGCCAGCAACGCAGTCGTCTCAGGTGCAATCGCAGGGTCCATCGGGGATGACAGATGGAAGTGAGGGGAGTCGACGTGCATCATTGTCATCACTACTCCGAAGTGTTCGGTTTTCACTCAGGCCAGAGCGTCGGGGGACTTCAGGTGGTGCATCTTCCCGGGGTCGTTAGTGAGATTCTATCGATGTCTGTTTTTTATGCGTGCATGGGTACCCGAAGTAGTTTGTTATCATGTGTGTTTGTTAGTATAGAACCAATTAGCATTGGACGAAGTCATGCAAATTACCCCCGACATTTTTTGAATCGGATTGGGGATATTATATGGATTGATGCTGTCGGCATTTTGTGAATCGGATCGGGGATATTATGTGGATTGCTGCTGTCGGCATTTTGTGAATCGGATCGGGGATATTATGTGGGTTGATGCTGTATTTTATGTATATTACCGTTTGGATATTTTGTTTCGTGCCTAAGTTGTTGGAAGTATTGTAAAATTGCAATGTTTTTTAGGGAATTAATACTATGCCATGTATGTTGAAGTGTTTGTTAGGGAATTAATGTTATGGAGAACGACATGTAAAAATAAAGAACGACACGATATGCGGTCTACACGGACCATTACGTTGCATTGTATTACAAATCAGGAAGACACATTACAGCTACTGCCACAACTTTATCACCCCTGTTGTTACACCCACCTACAGCTACACTGAAATCTACCTTGCTACTACGACAGCAGACAAACCAATACCACGATGAGTCGAAGACATACCAACTTCTTGAAAAAAGACTTTCGATATGGTAATCACCGTAACAACAACCATGAGAAGCTTCATATACGTTAGTCTTGTTCGGAAGGCTCTTATTTCAGAACGTAGTTCTTCCACAACCACCTTCAGTTTAGACATTTCATCTGCAACCCCTTTTGTTTCTTTGAGTAGATCCCCGTCAAATGCAACAGATTGAACCTCTGAGTCATTCACATCATCCCCCATCATTGCTCCACTCTCCAACATGAGTGCTCACAGGATCAAGCCAACGGAAAAAATCACAGGCTCCAACTCAGCAATTGCAAAATAATTTTCCTTGGGTTTCCTTTGTTGGACCGACGACACGGATTGCCGCAAAAGTCCCACACATGCATCGTGGGCATCGATACCTTAGGTCAAGATCTCCCCGGCCCCTGGACTTTGATTTTGAGCTGCTAAATGACATCACTGGAAAATGATTGCAAAACTCTCAAAGACAGAAGATTATATGCTTGCAAGTAAATTCATATATGAGCCATACGGACTCACTCCCTATTGTTATAAATTACTAGAAAAATTATAAATTATAGAATCACGATTTCGGCCCTAGATAAAAAAAAAAAAAAAAAAAAAAAAAAAAAAAAAAAATCACTTCAAGCCAAACAAAGCAATGTAAGAAGTTAGGTTTAACAAATTGTAGGGTTTCAAATAATTCCAACCAAAACAATGATTCAAAATTGCTAGTAACACCAAATATTAAAATAGAAATAAATTACCAGAATCCATTTCCCCAGGCAGACACCCGTTTTCTGCAAAAAATAAAAAACCCAAACCCGACAACGATAACACAGAACTTGTATTCGATAAACATTCTCACCAAAATTGCAGTCTCCCGACAGAAAACGCATTGCTATAGCACAATCTAAAAGTGACGGGCAAAATCGTACTGAGACCAAAAAAGACCCAAAAACGGAACTGCTAGCGCACCTAAAAAACACCCAAAATACACCTAAATTCAACTACTTTTACATACGGGCAGACCTGAAGTTTCTTGAAACGAACCACCGGCGCCGGGAGAGTGGAGGCCGCTGCGGTAGGTGATGGAAAACGACGAGCAATCTGTGGAGGAAGAAGAAACAACGTGAATGAAAGAAAGGTGAATAAAAGAATGACATATTTAAGTTAATAAACCCAGGGGTATATTTGTAACTTCACTCTCATATATATGACTTTCTGGAGCAAACATCGCATTTTGGGCGTGTGACAGTCACTTGCCGTTAAGTCCTAACGGAGAGGGTGTTTCCTGCAATGCTTTACAAACCACAAATAGGTTTTTATAAAGTTTTAGAACTACGGGGGGTTTTTAAGTATATTGTACAGAAATCCTTAAAAAATGAAATTTTATATAATATTTTCTAAAATACGAGGAGCCTTATACAATTTCTAAATTATAAGATAAAATCTTACAAAAAATTTATAACACGTGTAAATTATAAGTAATTTTGCCTAAAATTTAAAATAGTTCTAAATTATAAGTGATTGTATCAAATTAGTATTTAAACGATACTAGTTTCTATGGGACGTAGGCCTCTCAAAAGGTAACAAAAAATGTGCAAAGGTTTGTTTTTGGTATATCTCTGCTAAATTTTTTTTTTTTGCTCCAAAAAAATTAATCTTATACGTGCACGATCACATATTTTTCCTCAAAATAAAATTATTGAAGGAAATTATGTTTAATTAGTTAATAATAATGAGTTATGATATTATTTTATTATTTTTTATGTAATTAATAATATTGATAGCTTTAGAATAAATTTAATATATATGATTAAAAAATAGAATATCCTATTTAAATATTTCAAAAATTATATCGCAATAAAAAATATACAATATAAACATCATTTTGTACGGAATAAAATGTTCTATAATAAAAGTAAATAAAAAATATTTTTACTTATTTATAATTAACATAAACTAATTTTCTAAAAGATGTAGAGTTTTAAATGTAGATAAAAATATTTACTTTTCGAAAAGATAGTTAAAAATAAATGAATTTTGAGTGGGTCATGCCTGCTTTATGATGTTATATGTTATTTAGTAAATTAAGTTAATGTATATTTATTAAGTATGTTATGATTTAGTAAGTTTAACCAAAATAGAAATCTGGTAATTGTTATAGGAAATAAAAAATTGAAAATATGTCAATTGTTATGAGACAGTGGGAATATTAGATGTAATAATTAGTTAAAAAAAAATTAAAGTTTTGAACATATTATTGGATGCATTTATTTTGTATTTTGGTTTTAAAAGATATTTTTTATGTGAGGTATAGAAAATTGCATAGCTAATATAAAAATAATAATATGTGTAGTATATTAATTTTTTTAAAAAAATCTATTGGAAAAATTTGGGTAAAAGAACAAAGCCAATTGTATATATAAAGAAAATATGAGATTATAAGTAGATCCTAATTTGAGAAATTTTAAGAGGGTGAGTAGAGGACAAATACGATAGAAAATGAAAGGGAAGGGATTGATAGTGTAAAAATTAGTTATACTAATTTGTTTTATTAAATTATATAATTAATGTAATTATATGTAATCACATTTACACTATCAGCATAGGTGCTGATTTTTTAGAATCAGCACCCAATCCTCTTTCAAAATGAAAAAATATATATATTATATATTGTATATTAAACGAATGAATTTGTAGAAGTTAAAAAAAAAAAAATTGAACATATTTATTTTTAATTTAAAACAAAATTTCTCTTTAATAGGTTCTTTTTTCAAATTTTCACCTCCATTGCCGTCTCCGTCATCATACTAGCCATGGCCACCTAAGATTGTAGGGTTCTGTAAATTTATAGTAGAATATATTATTATTATTATTATTATTATTATTATGGTAAAGAAATAAATACATAGATAATAAAAGATGGGAGAATATAGTGATATTTTTTTATTTTTGAAAACCATAATGAAATAGTCTTTATTGATTAAAATAAATAGTTAAAAACCTTATATAGAAAAATTATTTTAATTTAAAATTTATTACCAAAACAACAAAAGCTTTGAAAACACACTTAAAACACAACAAAATTAATTAAATTAAATTGTGAGATTATTAATAATTACAAATAATCACAAAAAGCAAAAGTTATGCTTTCTAAGTCGCATTGAGAAAATATACACTATACTTAATATTTATTATTGTGAGAGTGAATTTATGTAAAATATAATTAAGTGAACTCGAAATAAATACACATTCTAAAATATGAAAGTTTGATGATTCAATTTGGTGGATCTAGGTACGAAGAAGCCAAATTAGATACTTCCACTATTATATTTTATAATTTTAATTTGAGATAATACAATAAGTATATATAGACATTAATGCAAAACTTTAATGAGCTTCGGCCTAAAAAAAATTAGAGAATCATACAAAGTATCGAACAATTGTCTATCGATAAGGAATGCAACCGTATTAGTCACATTAGGCCATAATATATTTGGCATCTTCTTAGGAATCACATCCCACATATTCTAAACTTCAAAAAATTTGAATCTCTTTAGCTTTTAAATGTTAATGCTATCAAGGGATGAAGACACTTGAACATCTCTTTGTGTCTCGAGAGCAACCAACAAATGTTTGAAGGCACTTCGTCTGTTTATTTCATATTACTTCCATTCATATTATTTCTTTACATACTAAGATTAATCAGTAGAAATACTTTTGTTCTTCACATGCCTGAATAATCAACTTGAGGTTCTCCAGACAACGGTACACTTGAGAGAAGCCACTGGTTAAGAATACCGACTTTGTTGAACTTTAGAATTCGTTTATGATAATCCAACTTAACAACTTTCAAAAATTATTTTTTAGGAAAAGCCGCTCTTGTGACAGGATTATCACCTATAAGTTTTACAACACAGCGGTGCACTTGAGAGAAACAACTGGTTCACGGATATCGAGGTTGTTGAGCTCTAAGATTTGATTATGATAATCTAGCTCAACAACTTTCAAAAATTATTTTTTTGGAGATGACAATCTTGTGAC